ATGCTGCACATATCTGAGAAAGTCAAAGATATGTATGAAGTCTTGCACTGGACCAGCATTCACTATCACACCAGCATTCAGTCTCACTTAGGGTAGACTCTGAGACCCTCAGTGGGGACGTATAGTGAGCTGATGATAATACAAGTTCCTATACATCCCCATTCCAAAGTCCTCTCCCTTTCCTTTTTGCTTAGCCTCTAGTACACTCATCAAACGAAACGCAGATTCTTTCGAACCTACCACTAAAGTTACAAAAATATTTTATTCGCAAAAGACAGTCGCATATACCGAACATCGATCGTATCTGGTTTATTAAATATTCCGTCCACGTATCCTGTCCTATTCCTGAGAAATATCGTCGCAATCAAATTAATTCCAAACTATAAACGAAACAGCTGATTAACTCACCGAAAAGGACATTTCGCCTCAAATTATTCATGAAACGTTCCATTCTTGTACTACTGTGAATAGACTAACGTTTGATGTGTTTGGCGCGAACGCTTCTGATTGGACGACGGATGACGTATGAGTCCAGTGTTGCTATGTCAGTGTTTTGAATTCCTAACAATTTGATGACACATTGGATATGATTTAGGAATATGCTAATACAGCTGTTTATAGTTTGCTATAAAGAAGAATGCACTTAAGCCATAACTATTTAAGTAAGGCTCTCAACTTTTTTAACTAAAAAGATTTTTAATAATTTCAAAACTAAATTGAGATATACTTTTATTTTACAGATACGTATTTGTTATTCCATTTATCATGCAAAAGGATATTCGTAAGATAACCTTATGGAGGAAAAATAGGGTTGTGTTATATTTTTAGTCACTAAAAGTATTAATGCGAGGATCCCGGGTACTCCAATTGGACGTACTGGGACCCGAAAGTCTACTTTACTCAGTAATAATGTTGCTTTCGAATTATTGAAATCTGTTCGGTAATTTTTGAGGTTATTCGTGTGTGTAACAAAACCGCTACGACTTAGGGTCCTTCAAGTAGCGAGCTTATCACCACCTCAAAGGCCGGCAACGCATCTGCGGTTCCTCTGGTATTGCTGATGTCCAAGGGCGTCGTTGAACACCTCAGTGTTCCCGCTGCTCGTTTGCCCCCTTCTGTTATAAAAAAAGTACAAATCTTTCTTTATAATCTTACTATATGGATGTATATCGGAAGGAAGCAGTAAATACATATTATATCATCAATATAATCAAACAAACAACAATAAAATTAAAGATTTTATTACAATCTTCCTTATTCAGACCTCCCGTGTTGAAAATGCTACAAACACGAGACACGGAAGTGTTTTAATCGTAAATGCTAAGCCTATAACATTACCTATGATATTTACTACTTATATCCTTTAAATTGTTAATAATTAAATATTTATAATACAGAATTTCAGTTAAGGAGGTAAGATATCTTAGAGATAAACTTTGTAGATATAAACATATTAAACTAAAGAGAAGTGCACATCATTTTAGCATAATTCCAACATTTCTTGTAACTCCAACATTGTCCTATAATGTTAGGAAGAAAATGCGACACTGTACCGGTGGATCGGCGCAACACTAGCCGTATTAAAATGTTAACGTTTATGTCCCTTCACTAATCTGACACTTGACTTGGTAACGAAAAAACGCCATTCGCGTTAAATGATTCACTAATAATGTCTCAAAATATATTTTGATATGAAGCCAGCTAATCTATCTAGTTTAGTCTATCCTTGTTTCGCTGGCTTCCTTTTGGCACACTTTTACTTAAAATTTGTGCCTTGAATGTGTTCTATGTATAGTAATAAATGTTTCTTATTTGCTTCTTTCTTTCAATTTAAGGAAAAATAGTATAATGAAAAAGTAAACTTAAAAGAACACGTTGATTTGGTGATTGAAATAGTCAAGTCATCAACTTGGCCTTATCCTTGCTAAGAGTTGGCACACGTACTCCTCCATACATCTCTATCTCTCTTTATCTCTATATCCTCTTTCACACAATCCATACATTCTTTGGTCTTCCTCTACCTTTGTAGCACTACATTTAATCTCACTTTTTTGTTTGTATGATTGAATCAGTCAAGTACCTGAAGAGCGCAATTAAATTTTGTAAGTTATTCCAGTGTATAAAAACCTTAATACGATCAGTCTGGTACCATCTAGGTGTAAGGATGCGCGTTACTTAACCGTTATGCTATAAAATAAAATCTTCTATTAAACCGGCGTCGTGAAAACCAGTTTAATAAAATTAAACGCATTATTTTATTTTCAAATACATTAATGCAAAAATATCTGATAGAATATCATGTTGCAGACAAATATTGAGATAAAATTTACCATTTATTTTCATAGAAAAGACATCGCATTACGTAACTTCAAAGAATAAAGAGTATATCTAATTTTGTTACAATGTAGCGGTACTTTACATAAGCAATAGCTTTATTATAAACTGACTGCTGCCTGCGACAATGTTGGTGCGGATTGAAAAAAACATAATTAATAGCCTATTTGTTCAATGACTATGTTCTACATCTATGACAAATTTCATGTAGATTCGTTCAGCCGTTCTAAAGATACCTTCTAACTAACATACAAACATTCGCATTTATAATATTAGTAAGATTTATAATATTAATAACTGACCCTCAAATATTATGCAAGTCAAGATAAATTACGTATACTTAGCAAATCTAAACAATATGGCGTTAATTGTAAATCATTTCAAACAAAGAAGTAATTTTATTACATTTCTACGAATCATTTGTGTTGATTTTACAAAAAAATGTTGCCAGTGATTTAATATTGTTATTTGGTAGTTTTAAAAAGCTTAGAGAGCGAAAGTAATGGCTAATTAGTAGTAATAGTTTAATTGTATAAATAATTAAATTAATGTTAATCCAAAGATATAGATTTTATTTTCGAATGTCAACTATAAGTCTTAATAAATGTATTTAACAATTGTACAGGGTTTTAAATAAAAAACCCTTATTTACAGAAAAATGTGTTAATATTGTAGAACATGAATAACAAAAAGACATAGAAAACTGATCTGACGTTACTACATTCAAAAGTTTTAATTTCTTCTTCTTTCTTAGATTTAATGGCAGCTAAAGTGTAAAAACTCCTTGAACAACAATCTTTACATTATTACAAAACTCTTTTCCCGTCGTTTGAACGCTAAAAATCAAACCATTCACAGCATATAACAACTGTTTTCGTTTATTTATACAAAATATTCTGTCAATATATCTCCAGGAAAGTATTATCTCTCTTATGAATATAGCAACAGGAAAGAACATTCCAAACCACGCATAATTAACTTTTGTTTTGAAGGTTATGTGATCTTTATGTTCGTTATAGCTTGGGCATTTTATTCATTGCATAAATAATGTATTATGGATATAGAACTAACCTAAATACAGTCTAGATTTAATATAATAACAGTATAAGTTTTAATATAATCAAATGTAACCTAAAAAATTATAAATATTTGATTATTTTCAATGTCAAGAGACAGTATACATTTTGAAGGTTATAAAGACGTTTTCAAACTTGAATAAGAAATAATAAATAACACGATACACGAGGGATTTCTTGACAAATAATTCTAAAAAGTGCGGAAGTTGCCGAGACAAAGTCCACTTGTCCGTTGCCGAAAACCTCCACAGAGGTCATAATTGACGCTAAACCCCGAACGGTCTTGTGTCGGCTCCAGAAAGGCATTCCATAACACGACCATATGATTTGACAGGAATTCTCGGGAACAGCCTTTTGCCACGACAATTTTAACAATGCAGTTGTTAAAAAAACACCAACAAAAACGTAGACTTTATCTCTAAGATATTTGAAGTGGAGTATTTTGAATTTAATGGAATTAAATTTTGCTTCGTCATATGGTTGGAGGCTTTGGTTATGTTTGAGTTATGCCACACCAATACTACTCTTTTGTCTTATGTGTTAAAGGTGTGAATTGTTTGGATGTTATCAAATAACCATATGATTTAACTTTGAATCGAATATGTCTACGTGTGCGTAGATACCGGCTTCTTTGATTACGTTATAGGAAAATTATCTTTATTGCAAAGCTTTAAGATTGCTTTTTGTTAATTTTCTTGAACAGTATGTGTTGAAACAGGATTCGTTTCCCATATGATTTTTGTATGACATTCCTTTTTAATGATATTAATTCAATAAAATATTTTATTGACTAGTTGTTAAGGTTCAATTTTCTTCGATTGTTTGTGTCGACAAACGATCTAGTTAGACGGCAGGGTCAGTATTGTTGGCCTGCGCCGGCGCATAATCTGTTGCCAGGATTTCATAAAGAAAACTACTAAATATTAATTTGTTATCTATATATTTTTTTGAAAATTAAACATATTTAACTAAAGTTAAAAACGAATCTTTATTCTTTTCACCCGAAACTATAAAATACCACAAGTAATTTTCACACAAAGTCGTAAGTTATAATGTATATATTACTATAATATCTTAACCTAAAAGTACTAAATTTTCATACTTTTGTCCAAAATAACTTAAACATAGAGATTCGATTAGTAATGAAGGAGTAAGGTTAGTTATTTTAAATATGTGCAGTGATTTTCTAAAAGGACAGAAATTCGTAAACTTACAATAATGTGTACACTGAAACCAATAAAGGTTTGTTTATAATGATATTTTAAATATCAATTTTTGACGCGATACATCATTACTTGAATATCCTCGTAATATTTTTAATTATCTAGCTTTAGCAGTGACTTTGTCTGCGAAGAATTTATTCTGAAGATAAATAAACATCTATCCAAGCATTACAATCTTATTAAGGTAGTGTAAACTAGTGAGATCTAAACGGATGTTATTTTCCCCTTAAGAAGGAAAATTAAATAATTAAAAATCTATAAACTACCAAATTAGTAATAAATTTAAAAACTGGCACACAAAATTCAGGGGTGGCACGACAACGGGACGTCAACGGACCCTCGGGGAAGCCGGGGAACGGTCGAGCAGTCAGTCGCATTCGGGCCGCGGTGGAGGAATCATCGCGGTTCTACGCCAACGACTATTTTAACAAGACTGATTTATTTATTATGAACTTGTGATTATTATCGTGAATTAAATTGTGTATGAACTCGTGTTAAAAATGTGGGGAGAAAGCAGTAAGAATTGTGAGATCAACTGCCAGTGTTCAGGGTGAGTTTAAAAAAACAACATATAAAATTGTTTTTTTAGGTTATGAAGCCAATACTTCATATAAAAGTGTTAAAAAATATCATATTTACTTATTTTTACATTTATAATACTATTTAATAATAATAAATAGCTTTTAATTATAACTCAAAGATGAAATTAGGTTCGAAAAATAGAGAATAATTTGTAATTAATTAAAACACGATAATTTCTTTTAAAAAGCTATAAGAGATGTCGTATAGTAAGCATTTTTATGTTTTAGTATTTCAATATTATAAATAAGACTTTTTTTGGGGGATAAATAATAATATAAAGAAAATTGTAATTACGTATAACCCTTAAAATACGTATATAATGAAACTTTTAAATAACTTTTCGTTCATTTATCCTCACTATCTTTGTATATCATATTTGTATTAGAGCCCAATTTTTAGTATATGTTTAATTTGTCCTTTTTAACCTATAAAACGGCCATGATTTTGCCAATTATTTGATATTGATCTTTATTTAGACATATCTTTGTAGTGTTTTTTTATACTTGTAGGTAAAAATGTCTTGCATGGCCATCTTAAAACTTGGAGCTTAACATAAACTTATAACGGCTTTTGAGATAAGAATAATTCGTTATGAGCTTACGAAATTCTGATAAAGATGTTTGAAGATGTGGTACCGCCATGGCCGTTACGGATGACTTCGAAATTCAAATTGCTGACATTTTTTTTAAATTGTAACTCTTTAGTTTTTGACGTTGGTATATTTAATGTTATTTTTTAATCGATATTTAATGTCTTTCTTTGTAAATTATCAAAGATTTTGTATAGAAAATTAACTCATGTATACGAAAGAGATTCATAGACATTGTCACAGATTAAATAGAACCTCCTTGTTTTTGAATTTCGAATAATTATTGCGGATCGAATACGCAAATTCCCGATACAAAGATTTGGAAGTTAAAAGCTATCGTTAAATTTTGTGGTTATAAAAAACTTTGGACTCACGTTTTTCTATTGTTACTGAACATGAAACACAACGGTTTCTTTGCATCTAAACAATGTTAATTTATCAACCACACTTTGTTGGTGTAATGAAAGTTTACACCTTCGTAAAAACGAGGTGGGCAGTGTTAAAGACCTTGCGGTGTTTCTTTATCACATGCATGAATAGTCGTTGAAAATGATTTTTTTTTATGTTGCTAGTAACCAAGCAGTATTTACAATTTCTTGGATTTTAGCTTCAAAGCGATCTAGATATTGTATTTATCACGACTTTAACACAGATGGTGTAGTTAGAGATTATAAAATATGGCTATCACTGATGTTTGTTAGTATTTCCGTAGGATTGTTATTTCTTTTATTTTTAAAGATTTGCAGGAAAAAAGGTTTTATGTATTAAGCGTAGGTAAGTCGTAATGACGTTACAATCCTGGCCGAAAGAATTAAAAGTAAAAAAACTGATTTGAAATTCGTACTCGTTATTTCCACTTAGCTTTTGACCTTGAATAGTCTAGGACGATGAACCTTTTTTACAACATGCTTTTTTGTAATCTGTACGAAAAGACATATCTATGTAACTCTGGATATATTTAGAATTATAAATCTATGTTTGTTTAGATTTGACTTTTTATATTAATTTTGGGATTTTCGTTACTGTTAATAAATATCTTATAAATTAATATATTCGTTTTATTATATTTAAACTAGCGGATTTATAAAATCTTCATAAGTAGCCTATCTTCCATAATTATTCTGCATACGTACAAGATTTTACCGAGATCCATGGAGCGGTTCTGGAGATATAACAAACATCCATCCATCTAAACGTTCGCATTTATAATTTTTGCTCTCTAAAAAAAATAATCACAGATTTATTATAAATAGATTACTTAAGTTTTATAATCTGGCGGTATCTAGCGGTTGTCATGGCCGTGTTTAAAAAGATGGCAGCGCGCGAAAGTTTCCATTTCATTGGCGAAAGTGAAAATGACAGATGTCATTAGATTCACAGATTATAACGTCGAGTTGTTTTCTTTATTTTTTTTTGCTGTTATACACCTCTCAACTTTTCTGACCCGGTAGACATGAGTTGTTTTTTTTTCTTTACTTTAATCTTCTATGTATACGTAACTGCGTTATCTTTCACCGGGTCAGATATATTTGTCTGACTATAATACTGTCAGATAAATGACCAGTTATTTCCGTCACAAACTCGCACTAACTATCTCTAATTCACTGGTGTAATTGATAAAAATGTATTCCAGATATGTCAACGCCCAAAACAAAACAATTGTAAATAGAATTTCAACCGTATTCTATTGACGTAAAGTTCAAAATTGCTTCAATTGTAATCAATGCATTTTTGGTTTAACTTTTTTGTTTTAATATCGAAATATACAGAGTAATCTTACTAATATTATAATTACGAATGTTTAGATGTATGTTTGTTTGAAGATATCTCCAGAACGACTACATGTATCTTGATAAAATTTTACATAGATGTAGACCATAGTCTGGAACAACAGGCTACTAATTAAGTTTTTTCATTACGTGTAGACGGAGTCTGGGGCGACAGCTAGTCTTACTAATATTCTAAATGCGAATGTATAGATGGATGGATGAAGGGATGTTTAAAGGTATCTTTAGAACGGTTCAACGGATCTCGATGAAATTTGGCATAGATGTAGAACATAGTCTGGAACAACAGGCTACTAATTAAGTTTTTTTTTACTTTATTACAGCTAGTTTGATATAAACACTATAGTGTATTTGCTTTATCGAAAGAAATTACTGAATTTAATATTAGAATTTCTAACAAAGAACTTTTGTCTAAAAATAAAAGTTTATAAGAAAAAAAAATCCTAGAGTTGTTGCGGTCTATGGTAGGGGGCGCACAATGAGCCCGTATCACTCGAATCTATTGTCTCTGGTCACGTTACGATGTAATGTTGTGAAATTAGCGGCTTCTATAATATAGATAGCTTTAAAACGACTCTATCCTTAGAATTTTTGCGGTTAATCCAGTGTTTTGTTTTGAAAACATGATATCTCACTCACACGCTTAAGAGAAAGAGAGACAGAAATTATATTAAATCACGGAATAATAATTAATCACGTATATACAGGTGTGCCAGGACTGTGTCAAATGTATCCATGTCCACCTACTTCTATAGTATCATGACGAAAATGTATCTTAATTTGTCTTAACTTATAATTGCCTCAATAACGCGTAAGTTTTGATACCTTTTTATATTACTGCTTACTAATATTATAAATGCGAATGTTTAGATGTATGGATCTTAATGTAATTTGTCAAAGATGTAGAACATAGTCTGGAAGAACACGTTAGGCTATAAAATTTTTTAATCCGCACGGACGAAGTCGCGGGTTATTATCTTACATCTTACTAATATAAATGCGAAAGTTTCGATAGATTGATAGATGGATGTTTGTTTTAAAGTATTTTCGTATGAACGGATTTTGATGAAATTTGTCATAGATGTAGAACATAGTCTGGAAGAACACATAACCAGCTATATAGAATTATAATATCCAGTCCCTTATCAAGTTCCCCTATCCTACCCTATCAATGTAAATGATAACATATGCTTTACTAAAATACGTTAAGTTTACGTTAACGGAACTTCACGGTGTATGCTCTTACGTTACAAGTCAAACGCGTACGCGGCATAGTTACGAGTTTTTATTAAAAAAAAATTGTCTATGTCTTAGTAGTTATTACGTTTAATATTTTTAAGAATGTTGAACGACTATGAAGATGGATGTTATAGAAGATATCTCCAGAACAGCTGCATGGATCTCGATGATATTTGACATTGTAGAACATAGTCTGGAAGAACACATAACCTACCAATCAACCCTGGCTTAGGGTAAGCTCTGAGCCCCTCAGTGAGGACTTGCTGATGATTTCTCGATGTGGATTTATATGTTAATTAAATTGTAGTTTGTATTTCCCGCCCGCCGCTTTCTTTTAGACCACAAACGTCTATACCGTGACCTTTACGATTTAACGCGGTCGTTTGTGAATGTTCAATGAATCTGACCTTAGGTTTATTAGTCTTAGGATTTATGCAAATAATTCTAATCTTTAATACATTGTTGTTACGTTTGAAATTACAATGCACAATATTCACAAAAGTCGTAAGAAATGTCAAAATGTCAAAAAAAATCCGGAGGGCTAATTTTAATTTTCTTTCCCTTCCGACTTTTTTTTTAAGAAAAGGATAGAAGAATTAGACTAAGTGGACCTTTCTGTGCGTCCCTTCTTCCATCTAAAGGCAACGCATCTGCAATTGCGGATGTCCATGGCTAGCGGTCGCTTCGCTATTTTTGCGAATTTACGTGACCGTAATAAGAAATCTACAGTTTACCAAAATATGTGTATATGGTCATCTATACTAATATTATAGAGCGGAAGAGTTTTTTTAAACGCGCTAATCTGAAGAACAACTGGTCCGATTTAAAAAAATCTTTTTTTGTTGGATAGTCCATTTATAGAGGAAGGCTTTAAGCTATATAACATTACGCTGCGACCAATAGAATCGAAGCGACAGTGAGTAATGTTGCAAAAACGGGGATCTTTGATAAAACAGAAACAATTTTTTATACGGCGATTTTGGTTACGAAAACTCATGTCCAGTTTATTTGATAGTTTACTAACGCGTCTAAACGTCCCCTGTTTCCTGATGCGATCGATACCCACCCTCTAAGTTCAACAAACTTAACAGATGCGCTACATACTGCTCACCCCAACTAAATTACACGCGGGGTGAAGTCATACATGGTAGATTCGGGGAAATTTTATATTTGTTGCTGGCAACATTTGGTAAATAAAGGAAAATTTTGTATTTAACATTTTTCGGTAGTCATTTTATTAATACTGGCAACACAGATTAATTTAAATTACGAGGATTTTAAGTAAAACATATTAATCTTACTAATATTATAAATGCGAATGTTTTGATGTATGTTTGTTTCAAGATATCTCCA